TAACTGTGTCTGTGTTGGTTTACATTTGGTAAATTTTCATTTGGCCACTGTTTGTGTGCATCTGCTGTGAGAGGCAGGGTGTTTATATCTGTATACACCCTCTGATGTTAAAATAATTTATCCACCATATGGGTAGATGATACAAAGATGATTTTACCAAAATATAATAAATTATGGTGTTTTGGTGTGTTTTTACACATGCTGTATGTTGAACTTCAGATGCAGTGCACATTGTACACCACATATAAATGATAACACAGTGATTGCCAAATGAACTGGGCCAGTAATTATGACAGTAATGTGGGACTTTATTAATCCCCTTTGTGTGAGTACTGCGTTAGATTAAGGATGATCTGCCCAGGCAGATAGACACATATACAGATCTCTGTCTCTCTCCCCTCCTCCTCCAGTCCATCACACCACAACACATTACACGCACGTGACGCGTACAGCACAAGAAAACGGCACACGCACACACACAGCCCTAATGGACATCCAAACGCAGAAGCTCTTTATCTCAAAAGGAGCACAATCATTTAGCCAGGAATATAGAGCACTACAGAGCAGTAATTAATCTGTCTGTGGTTGAATTTTAATTACATGTTAGCACTGTGCCCAGTATTGTCTTATGTGTGTGTGCTGTCAGGATTCTTATCTTACACTCTCAGTAACACACTCCTTGGCTGTAGCACAGTGACTATAGCTCCCCACCACCTGCTGTTGTGTTAGAACAGAAAGCCAGAAAGAGACGCATACAGTTTGATCACAGTGTTGGGGAAAACACTCTCTGTTTCTGAAGACCAGGATGACTGTCATTAATTCCTATGTGTGGGGTATTTAAATGTAACTAGGACAATGCCGCCTTTACCTTCTGATATTGTCATGTGATCTTTTGTTCAACCAAAAAGTTAGACATTTTGGGATATTCGCTTATTTGCCCTTTTTTGCTCTGTGCTCCAGTAACAGCTGAGCAGACCACCGTTTTCTCCTTTCCTGTACTTACATATGTACTTATGCTATGTGCTAAACATAAGCTAACTAACAATTAATGTAAATGAGCTAGTTAGTTTGCTAGCGTTTTATGCTTCTCTGGGCTGCATAGGGGTCTCTTGGATATGGCTGTTTTATACTTCTAGCTACATGTTTTGTACTTGTCTCAGTTCCTCTGCAAACCTCTGTGACCACCAGTTACCCATAACACCCTTCTATGCGTAATGTAGTGAAAGGCAAGTCACCATTTGACAGTGGGTTATGTTATTTTGGCAGAGTTTTTGGTTTCATTGTTTTTCTTGTGTCAGCTCGCCCTGCCACTCTCCCTCTCAAACCCCTGTAATAACTGCTGCAAGAGTAGCTCCATTAGTCACTGATAACACTAAAGCTGAGGTGTTTAAAGAGGATACATATGATATATGACGAAACTACGCCTGAGCTCATGATACTGCATCTTTTCTCCTCGCTGTCAGCTTTGACCCTGCCCAATGGCTCTACTGTCGTTTGAGAGAAATAGATCATTCATGGCCACTCTAACCTGAGCAAAGGCTACCTTTCCCTTCTAGTCATTAGAGCAAAATATCCAAAGACAACAATGAAAACAGCCTCTCATTCACCAACCGCAGCTCTCAGGTGGACGGCAGACTGGCTGAATACAATGGCAGGTAGGAAGAGCATCACAACAGCTGGCATGTTTGAACAATATGTCTAAACCCTGAATGAGCCAAGGGAAGCAGGAAAGATGGCGCTTAATGTTAATGCATTAATGTTGCCAGCCATGAGCGCGATCAGAGTGTCACTCAGGGGTCCTCTTGAGTGGGTACTCTGCCTTGATGCTTTTCATCTAGCAGGGAGATTTATGTATGCTTTTCAGCCGTCTTTCATCTTTGTTTTGCCCAAACAGAAATCTAATGAAATGTAATTATTGATCGGTGCAACAACCTCCTGAATGTCATGAACTCCTTCACTATCCGTCTCTCTCTCATCCTAATGACACTCGCAGTAAACACAGATTGTCTGAAATGTTCAATAAATAATACTGTGAAGCCGTAGTTTATTAAAAGGGGTGGACAAGATCATGTAAAGTCATTTCAACTATCAGTTCACCGTTGAAATAACTGGTTTACTTTTGCAAGCGTGGAGAAAAAGATGGGTCTTGGTTGTTTGGGGTCGTGAGCAGTTTCTTGAAACTGCTATAGACTGCTGTGTGTTTGTCCCTGGTGGTTAGTTTCACCTTGTGACTGCTATTCCTCTCTGTCGAGTTTGTCATGCCATGTGTTTGTGTGATTTTCAGGACTATTCCCCTATCTCCTCATACATATTTAACACTGTTGCAGTTTTAACACAGATTAATGCTGATTATACCATCAGTGAACCCAACATAAACTATCTGTAGGCCCAGAGCAGTTTTTCTAATTGTTTAAACCTGTATTAATTACATAAATTTTTAGCAGGCTCCTTGGGGGCAGCACAAGCTGTAAACACAGCTTTGACATATTATCAACCTTTAAAGTTGGAGAATGAAGTATGGAGGAGGACTTCAGAGTCGGCTGATGCTTTGTATGTCTGTCATGTGTGTTTGTATGTGACTAAATACAGGTTCCTCTTCTATTATGCCCGGCCTGTGTCATTGCAGCGGAAATATTATGCCAGACTCCAACAGCTGTTCAGTCAGAAACACACCGCCATCAACATTCCAGCTGGGAATACTCTGTCTCAGCGCCTTGCTTCTCTGTCATGGTTGGCAGATGGAAAATTTTGACATTGTGATGTAGAACTTACAACCTGATCTTGTTCGCTGGTGCACACTGGCTCTGCCTTTCTTCTTCCATACCTTGCTTTTTGTAGCTGTATGTAGAGTCACAAGTCAAGATCCCAGCCAGTCCTTGTCCCTTTTTTTTTTTTTTTCCATTAGCTTAACACAGCTATCCTTGGTTGGAGCTCTGTTTGTGTGTGTGTGTGTGTGTGTGGCAGTTGAGTCCTACATGAACCCTTGGCATTCCAGCAGAGCGGCATAAGTCACCATCAGAGCCGGATCAATTTCCCCCCGGCCCGGAAATAGGCCTACGAGCAGTCGAAAATCTCCGTCCTGGAGCGCTCTCTCTCCAGCACTTGTCGTTTTCCAAATGTATGGAAAATAGTTTCCATGTGATGCCCCAGTCCAGCCTGTCAGGGCGACCAAAAGTGACATTGTCATTGGGCCAAGTGGGTCAGTCAGTGATGAGTGAAAGATGTGGGTGTCAAATGATGTGCCACAAGGGGCCGTGGGATAGGGTCACCTAACTGGCTATCACTGCTGCTGTTACTATTGTTGTGCTGCTTGGTCCTGACTTGATATGAGGTCTTTGTCACTATGCTGCAGACAGCTCGTAATCCCCCAGCTTTCTCTCTGCTATGGCGACTGTCCCCAGGTATCAGGACCATGCAGTGAGAGCAGTAATCCTGGTATTTTCCCTTCCGTGTTTATTTTTATGATTGCTATAAAAATATACTGTTGAGTCAAACGTTGGACCTCAAGCAAGAACATTTTGTTTCTATTCAAAGTATTGTATTCCAGATGTGTACCTATAAGGACAGTCTGCTGCTATAACAAAGTTAAGATGTCAGGTTGACCTCCTCCTCCTACCTTAATTGTCTCCCTAGATTTAATAATAATACAATCAATCTAATATCAAGCTTCTTTGTTTGTTTGTTTGTTTGTTTGTTTGTCTCCTCTCTGTCTTTCAGTACCGGATTGGCCAGCTGTACATGATCAGTAAACACAGTCATGAACAGAGTGAACGTGGGGAGGGGGTGGAGGTGGTCCAGAATGAGCCGTACGAGGACCCCGAGCACGGATCAGGCCAGTTCACAGAGAAACGAATCTACCTCAACAAGTGAGTGTCTTCCTTTTGCCACATGTGTTCAGTTTCATTAAATAAATTATTTATAATCTGTGTTTTACAGACTTTATACTGTTCCAATATTTCACACTAATAATCTTCATTCTATCTATCACAAGTCACCGTTCATCAGGCTGCTGCTGATAAAGCTTTCATTGAACAAAGAAAAGATGATGTCATTTTTTCGCTGCATTGCTGTCACTGACACTAACTGGCTGCAATACTTGGTGTTAAGACAAAGAATAGTCATAGGTTTAGATGTCTAATGATGCGTTCATGTCATCATCTGTAGGCTTTCTTATTAAAATAAATATCTGAGTATATATAGTCGCATAAAGAAAATCATAACATATGTGTATCAGGTATCATATCACATCGTACAGCTTTGCCAGCTGCAGCACTAAGAGTTGCTATTGTGTTTCACAAATGAGCAAGGGACAAATGTAGTCAGGTTTCATCTCTCTCCAGCCTTATTTTCCAGCTCAGAGCTGGCCCTGTGCTTTGTTAAACTTGATAAGCGTGAAATTGAGTAAATGCATATTTCTGTTATGTAGATTACAATTGAATTAGCTGCTGTGTGCTGTTTGAAGTATGGTCACCTCACTCTTGTGGATCGGCTCTGAATGTAAACCCTCATCACAACATTTTTATTTCTGTGCAGCATCAAAATATTATGAACATTTGTACATGATTGATTTAATTATGGACTTATGGACTATAAAGTTCAAGTTTATGTTCAAAGGTGGTTCATTTCTGGCCAGGATTTGTTTTTTAACTTAGCTTTTTCTTTGTGCATAAATCAGTGCATGACTTACTTCTACAGCAATAATTCAAGTAGCTTATGGCCATTCATATACACTAGGGCTATCATAGCCCGGTCAATGAGTTCAATAAATCCACACCAAATGCTTGGCAGGAGCACAAATCCATCAAGTCAGCCAACTCTTATCAAAGTAATGTAATTGTAAACTATTGATTTCCATAGACTGATTGGAGCACAGGTTCAGCTGCAGTGCACTCGAGCTGGTGTGGATTCAGTGTCTTGCTTGAGCGCCCGTCGGTGTGGACAACTGAACCGAGACTAGACCAAGACATCCAGTTCAAACTAACCCACTGCGTTGTTTCCAGGACTTTCCAGGACTATCACAATGCAGTAACCAGACTATGCTTACATTAAAAACAGCACATGAGACGAGAAAGGAGGCTTTTTTCTTCCATGGTGGTAGAATGAAGCCTGGTTACTGAACAACAACGTGACGACACCCACCTGTCACATAAAACATAAACATTTAAACATGAAAAGTAAAAACAGGTTAATTTTTATCAATATCATGAAGAAACACAGTATTGGCGGTAATGCTCTGTCCGGTTGCATTCACTGTAGAGAAAAAATGACTGCACTACGCGAGTGTGTACGTAGAATATAGAAGTGTATTCGACTTGAGACACAGCAGACATCAATTGTTAGCTAGCTTGTTAGGTGTCCAGTTGGCTAGCTAATCTAAACAATGCTAACATTAGCTAGCTTAAGATGTGACTTTATCTTTTAACCAAAATTCAAATCAAAATGTTGTTGTCCTGTCAATATAGACGAGCCTAGCATATAGCTAAGTATAAGAAAGGAGAAAGTTGACTGAGGTTCCAAAAGGGGCGGGACTTATGAAGGGTCAATTACCCGTCCTTATGGTACCTTTGGTGCTCTTGCCCCATTTGCTACACTCATAGTTCTTTAATGCTCAAACTTAAGACCAGTGTATGTTTGTTTCTGCAGAATTTAATTTCCATCTTCTTTTGGTAAAGATGAGTGATAAATCAACACTGAGCAGAATTAAATACCGTTACAGGCAACTGAGCCGCTCATTCCCAAAAGTAAAATAATGAGACAAAGATAAAGAGAGAGAGAATGGAGAATGGAGAAAGTGAGAGGCAGAGAGGCTGAGGTTCTGTGGTCAGAAGTGACAAGTAAGTGGGCCTTTGGGATATGTGAAGTGTCATTGACAAACTCAGAGGAGAGGAAGGTTTTGTGCTGTGTGTGTGTGTGTGTGTGTGTGTGTGTGTGTGGGCAGATGAGAGATGAGGTCAGTGTAAGTGATGGATAATTTGAGCAGTCACTGTCGGTGTTGGACGCCGCGCTTGCCTCTCTCCACCCACAAACCACCTGTTACCATGTTATAGCCGCAGTCTGTGTGTGTGTGGGGGGGGCTTGTATTTGAGGACATGTGACCAGTCTGCTGTGTGTGGACACTCCCCTGGCTGTTTGACAGTCCATTGGAGAGAGACCAGAGGGAACCGTCTCTTGTCTCAGTGGTCCATACAGACTCTCAGTACAATCTCCACATTCAATTACAGTTTCTAGACACAGAATAGGAAGAGAAGAGGGTGATAATGTGTGAATTAAAATAATCAATGGCTGGTTTAAAAGAGAATTATCCTGAAAGTGAAATTTTGCACAACTTAATGATGGCTTTGCGTCCAATTATGCTGCTATTTGCCAGACTTGATTGGCGATTTAGGTTGGTCTGTTTCTAATGGGACTCGAAAATAAGTCTGTACTCGCTTTTCTTTCTATTGCCAATCATCAGGACTATTCCATTTTTGAAAGTATCAAAGTTTCAAAAGGAAAAACTGTTCTATTCACCTATGAATTCATGCATTTCTCAAATCTGTGGATTACCAATTTTCCCTCCAGTTAACCAAGGTTTGGCCCCCGTTGTTCCCCTTCCTCAGTAATCGTTTGCATTTTGATTGGGCGCCCAATAAGGTGCTCGGCTACTCGGCCACAACTGTCAGCATTTAGAATCCATCTGCGCTGAGTAATAGCTGGTTCTCTGTACTTTCCGCCCTCCATGTCTCTCTCTTTATCTATTACTGTGCAAGCTCTGGCGAAACTCCACTGCAGGGTGTAGGGTGTAATCAGTGTAATCAGCTCCCCCAGAGGCCATCATGGCTGCCTTGTATGGCCTCCATTATGGCTCCACACAGCTGGATGCTTGTCATTGGCTTTCTGGGTGATAGGGTGAAGGAAAAGAGTGGAGAGGACTACTTTGACTGTACAGCATACAAGCTATTTGTCTCATCAGTCCTCTAACCTTTTTATTTTATTCTTATTCTTCTCCTTCACTTTACAAATCCATCCTCTCTTCTTTCTCTGTGTTTCAGCAAGCTGCCCAGCTGGGCCAGAGCAGTGGTTCCTAAGATTTTCTATGTGACAGAGAAGGCTTGGAACTATTACCCGTACACTATCACAGGTAACGCTTTAATTACACATCCTTGTGCCTATTTTGTCTACAATGTACACTCAACCTTCATGAAATAGCATGTGTGCCACCATTGTTGTCTACAGAATATTATATTATGTAACAATAACCATATAATTGGCTTAAATAAGTAGACAGCTTCTGTCCCTTTGAATAAGGAACTCCCTTTGTTGGATGGCTTCCTGTTTATTTGTACTAGAACAATGTACACACACACACTAGGACCTTTAAAAACATGGCTCTGCTGACAAGCTGGCAGCCATTATATGGGATCATTGGGAGGGCAAAAACACAACCCACGATGTGTAGAGGGTTAGAGAGGGCTGGAGAGACAGAGGTCAAGAGGGATGGTGGAAGTGATGGGGAGTGGACAGGCAGGTTTAACTGGAAGATAAAGAGAGAAGTGTAAGGCCAAACAAGTGCACAAGTTTAAAACACCATCACAATGTGGTTCTCGACTGTAGTTTGTGTCTCACAGTGGAATGTGTTTTGACTTTTTCTCAATAATTTGCATTGATATTTTGCTGCTGTTACATTTAAAAAGAACTATTTAATTCAAAGTGCCTCACATTGAGCACAGCAGCAACATAAATATGACATTAGCCCTGCACAATATTCTTCTTATCTTCTTATTTTTTAATTGAATTGAGTGGTAATACATATAACATATAGCATAGGCTGTACAGTGCATACGTGTATGTATACACACAAGAATCTGGGGGTCACATAATATGACCAAACCACCTTTTGACCACCAATCTAAACACACCACATGTCATAACCAAAAAAGCCAATAATTTATCAAACAAACAAACAGCGAAAACAAACAAGTATCTAAGTAATTATTTTAGTGACACCAGTCACAGCGTCAACAGTTTGTATGATGATAACATAAGATATGACTGCACCTGTTATCTGCAGCTCTTCGTATGTTAATGTGGAACACTGAAGACACTTTAAGTGGGTTTCTTTTTTTAAATCATCATCGGGATGAATTGTCCTTCAGTTTTCAAGCTTCCACAACAAACTTGACACAAACATGATATTTGTCAATGTGCCAGACAGCTGTTTTGATGTTTTTCTCCATTCATCCTAAATATGTTGTGCAGAGGGATTCAGTGCGATCATTACAGTCTGTCAACAACTTCTGAAAGTGTAACTTTTATGAGAAGCAGAACTACTTTACAGCTGACTTCTCTGTGCTGAGTTCCCTTAAAAAAACTGTTCACAAAGTTCTCTTTACGGACATAAAGCTCAGCACAACAGTTGATCTCACATATAATAATATAATAATATATAAATTCACTAATGCAGCTAAAACCCTTTAGAAAATGATCATGATCAACTCTTCTATTGTATTTTTCTCTGCCAACAGTTATACTCTGTCACTCATAACACAATGACCTGAGAGCTAATAACCCTTAGTATTACTATATGTATGACTAATGTCTTTTATAGCTTTTACTTGATTTTATTTTTGTATAAACCAAAACTCCCATACAACACACTAGATAGCACCTTTTTATTCATGAATTGTACTACTTTATATTTGTTAAAGAAATTATTTCCCTAAACTAAGGCAGTGCAATGCATGTATACATTCACTATACATACTTGTACAGGATAGTCTGGTGTTGTGTGGTGCATTTTGGTGCCACAACCTCTGATCCATATCACACCTCATGTCCCCTCTTGCACTACAGCTGAGAAATATTCTCTTTTTGCATGCCTGATCCGTCCCGTGCAATCTTCTGCAGACATCCAGCTTTTATTACATCGAAGAGGGACATCTGATCATGTGGCTGGTGGTCTTCCACTGTTACTGAGAAAACTCATTCCCTTTGCTCTTTTACATACATGGCATGAAATTAAAAAGCATAATAACATGGATGTGTGCTCTTTCCTATTCTTTTTTTAGATATAATTTTGTGTTGTGTTATATTTTAAGCATAAATGTAACAGTTTTTGAAAAAGTGATCTGAATAAATATAGAGAAATGTGTGTTACCGATTGTAAAAAAAACTGTAAATCCTACAAAAAACCAGCTGATAGATCATAAAAATACCATCATTGTAGATATTACATTGCCAGTAACTGTGAGCCCTGCAGCATGCAAAACAACAGGGTAGCAGCTGTGCGGGGACGTGCAGCTCTTCTGTATGTACAGTATGTCCACGTGAAAAACACATGTGACTAAATATGCCCTCAGTAGGACCATGCACATATAAAAATAGTCACGCAGATTTAAAGGGGGAAAAAATGGGACTGTGTCATAACAAGATGGGCTTGCTGAGACTGACGTGCTATTGCTGAGGCTTAATGTTCCTGTTTCCATTTTGAACTAAATAATTTTTTCATCTCTATTCTCTTCTCATCTATGTCTCACTGCTTCATTCCTTTGGTGTCTTCTACCTGTCTGCCCCCATCACACACCTCCCCGTCCATTATACTGATGGCCTCTGCTGGGAATATGGTCAGAGTACACGGTGAGTAGTTCCAGTGCGTCTGCACCGATGCACACACAAAAACACTTAGATCCAAAAGCTGACATGTAAATCTTTGTGCTAGAGGTTAAAGGTGAGCATGGCTACACGTCCTGAATTTTACACTGTGTTTGTATAAGCTGTGCAATAACACACTAGTGCATTGCGATACAGTCTCTAGTGTGTATGTGTGCGTGTGTGTGTGTGTATGTATGTGTGTGTGTAAGACATAGAAAGAGAGAGATACTTGTCTGTGACATTCTGCCTGTATTATTCTGCCCTTTATTCATCAGATTGTGCTCAGTGCAAATTAAGTCTAATCCTAACAGAAACAACATCTTGTCTCAGATTTTAGCATTTTACATGCAGTGACATTTAACTACAACCATCTTTGAAACACATGTAATTTCATATCAGTCAAAACACAGTCTGATCTGCAACCTTGATTAAATCCAAACATAATGTTTCATTTTTAATTTTTGAATAAACTCTGAGTCAGAGTCATGGTGGCAGCAGGCTGAGCAATGTAACCTTAATGTTCTTCCTCTGGAGTCTCGAGGTATTCCCAGACCAAGTGTATTGTGCGGATGTGCCTGGAATACCTCAACAGGGAGGCATCCATGATGAATGCTGACTAGATTCCTGACCAACTGGCTCCTTTTTATGGAAATTATCACCAGTTTCACACTCAGTTCATTCCACATATCTGAGAGTGAACCCAGACACCCTGCGATGGAATCTCATTTTGGCCGCTCTGAAATAAAATAGTTTCATTTACTATAGAGGTCCTGACCATAAAATAAATGTAAAATCGACTTGTACAAGCATCACCTTCAGGCCCAGATCTTTCTTTACCAATTGTCGGATACACCTGCATCCCTGCTGCACCAAGGCGCCTGTCAATATCAACTAATCAAGCAAATTTCCCTTTAAAAACATTAGGAAACCCCACAGCTCTCAACAGGAATAACTGGTTAATTGACTGTCACTAAGAAAAAGCACTAATGATTTGCTCTGGGACATTAGAGGAACATTAGCCTGCCCACCTTATGTCTAAGGCAGCAAGGAAACATCAATGAAGCACAATTAAAATCAGCAGCAGGCTGATCTTTTCCCCAGGGTCTGTACAGAAACATCTGTTAGATGGAACATCTGTGAGGAAGGTCGTGCCAGTTGATGTGAAAGTAACTTTTTCTGATTTAAGATTAAGAATATGAGTGTTGCTGAAAATAAGTCTCCCTTTCATGGAAAAATATGCTGTAGCTTTACAAGGACACCCACAGTATCCTCAATTCAGCAATCACGATTTTGATAAGAGCCTCTGACGAAACAAAGGTCCACTTCTAAGTTAAATATTTATAGTCTGTGTTGATGGTGCTTGTCGTAGTCTCGCTGCCTCATGGGACTGATTAAGCTCAGGACTCTTTTGTTATGATTAGCCCAAGGTGGGTGGTGATGATGATGCAAAAGATAAGGATAACGGGCAGTGGCAATGATTTGAATCGTTAATCAACATACACTGATCAGCCATACCATTATGAGCACTGACAGGTGAAGTTAATAACACTGATTATCTGGTTATCATAGCACCTGTCAGTGGGTGGGTTATATTAGGCAGCAGGTGAACATTTTGTCCTCAAATCTGATGTGTTAGAAGCAGGAAAACATTAGCAGCCAATGAGGATTTTGAAAGCGACTTTTGAACAAGGGGCCAAAAATTTCTGAAAATGGCTAAGACCAACTTGGGTTCCAGACATTCTTTCCCAAAAAACGTTGCAAGCTCTTGTAAGGGTGTCCGGTTTCCTTTGGCAGTGGTCAGTTTTTTCCTATTCAAAAAGTGCTTTTTAGGAAAGGAAAAAGAGTGAAACTGGAAAGGGCAATTGGGGCCAAGGCTTCAGTGGAATTGCACATGGGTTAGCGAAGGCTGGCCCGTGTGGTCCCGACCAACCAGAAGAAGCTACCTGTTAGCTTGTTTTAGCCCATAAATTATTTTTTACGGTCATGTAACTGCAATCATGTTGCAAAAGTTTTCAAATATTTTTTACCAGGATCTCCTTTGGGCTTTCCCGGCAGCGGTCCAAAAAATTTTCTCCAAGTGACCCCAAATATTCTCCTATTTGTGCTTCCAGTTTTTTTATTTTTGGGAACCCTGGCCTGCCTAGCATCATATGTTTTTTACATGCCAACATTATAATTAGTGTTTGTTCAATTAAGAAACTTGTTTTAAACTGCCCATTGGGGTTGGCTTTATCCTCTTAGTCCCCTGTTTTCAAGTTAGCAGTTGTATGAAGTGAAAAAAAATTTAAAATTTTGCCAACCTTTTGTAAGAAAAAAAAAAAAAGTTTAATGATACTCAAGATTTAGAAGGATTAAAAGTTCAAGCGCCAAAACAAACACAATCCTTGGGCAAAGTTAACCACTTCCAATGAAGTTGTGTGGGTTGCCAATCAGTTTTAATGAAAAAATCTGCAGCATGCCTTTGTTGAAGGTTTTAACTCCTTTAAAAGATTCCTGAACAATTTAAGAATATGTGAGGAAATGAACTAAACAGGAGCCCAGTTGGATGAACGTTAATTAGAAAACTCAGTCTTTTTTTGTTGATGACATCTGCCCCTAGGAATGAAGGTTTATTGTTATTTTTATCCTCTTTGCGCATGCACAACACATTTCTTTGTCAATCTCCCCAAGTTCACTTAAGACCTGATTTTGCAAGCATTGAACTTTTATGCCACTGTTGGCATTAAAATTAAATTAGTTTACGATCCACACCACCAGCCCTCTCCTCCTCTTCCAAATTATTTTGCCCTTTTTTTATTACACACACACACACACACAACACACAAAAACAACACACACACACAACACACCCACACCACAACACCTTACACCTAACACCTACACACACACACACACACCACACACAAACCACACCCACCACCTATGTATTTCAACCATGAAGCTCCCAGCTTAAGCCTATAGCTTCTTCCCTCTTTTCCATCTGCCTGTCTCCGTCCTGTTGCCCAACACCATAACACACACAAATTTCCAACAAAAAACCCGGCTTGTTAATATCAACATCTTTTAATTTTACCAGTATTTCCACTTCTTTGGTTTTGTAAATAATTTTACCTTTTAATCTAAATCAAACTGTTGTGTTTTTAAAAATTGAAATGAATTGAGAAAGCAAGTCATTTAATTGCCCAAAAGGCAAACAGTGTTTGTGTTGTTCCTGTTGTTGTCTGTGTGTTCCCATGTTGTCTGTAGTGCTTCAATGAAGAAAAAGGGAAAATGGTTTTGCAGTAAACAAAGTTAATAAATCTTTCACTGAGAAAAGAATATCA